GAAGTGCCTCAGTAAGGCGCTGAGTCAGTAGCCACTTTCAAACAAGGCAGCCATGAATTTATGGGCTCCATGTAGCCGTGTAGCAGTTGCCTTTTTGGCTTTCAGACATAGATCTGCTGTACACGAACATATAAGGACCTAGACGGGTACAGTTCATGCAATATCCACCATCACGTGAAACACTGGTTACTATTTATCTTGTTAGTAACTTCTTCTTCTCTGATTCCTATACAGGTACAGGACCAATTTCCATTCATTCTGCATGAGCCGACGCTGTTAAACTGCACCAGTTCAACATACACTTTGTACAAGCTAGTGATGCTACATTCTTTTTAAATTTATGCCCAAATTTCACTGCCTAATTTCACTAAGACAGAGTGGTCGAGCAAGCCAGAGAATGAATGAAAAGAGGGAGCAGCGTTAGCCAGGATATAGTAGACAATCAAAACAGAGAACATGTTGTATGTTGTGTTGTAGTACTGTCGTCACCTTAACCGTGCCCTTACTGGCACTTCAACTTGACCACTTCAAAACAGACATGTAACCGGTAAGAACCAGGGTTGTGTCAGAAATCACTCCCCATTCACTCATTCCCTACTCCCTATATAATGTACACTAAGTAGTTCACTCCATAGTGAACATAAAACAGTGATTTAGGACACATACAAATCATCATTATTTTGCATCATCACTAACAGCTGATGATAATTTTCCATCTGATAGAACAAGGAAGAAAAAGATTTATTTATTGTCACTGTGACACGTACAACAAAATTATGTTTGGAGCCAAGGCGTGCATATGTGCCACCATCACAGCAAAATGGCGGGTTCAGTGTCCTGCCCAAGGACACTTCAATACGTGGACTGCAGGCACCAAGAGTTGAATCTTCAACTTTCCGGTTGGGAGACAACTGCCCTACCCACCACACCACACCACTGTCGCCTCCCCAGGAACTGGCTCTCCTCAATTTGTGGAGGACGTAGAGGTGTGTTTGAGCTTTCTTGGCCAGAGGGGCACTGTATTGTGGGATTGTTAGCAGAAAGTAGTGCACATGGCACGTACACTACTTTCTATTGTAAAATTTCTGAGTGCAAAATATGGTGGATAGATTTACAAACTCAGCATTCAGACACCATTACAGCATGGTGAACTCATTATATAGTGAGTAGGGAGTGATTTCAGACAGTGCAGGTAAAATTTCTGGTAATAATTTGCCGGCTACATGACACGGGACTTTGTTCAGGTGTTACGACTAGACATGAAATAGCTAGCAAATTCCTGGCTAGGGGTGCATGGCTGAAAGAGGTTAGTGACTACAAGAGCTTAGACACTTTTAAGCCTTTTCCACTTCTGAACTTTAAAAAACAATTAACATAAGGTCCTCATTGTCACAGTTTCTGCCCCTAAAGCATCCACCACAGGAGTCATTACATATTAGTATGCTCAGACATTTCTCAGCATGTGATCTGAGAAAACATATAGTATTGTATTGTACTTTTTTTGGCAAAATTAATCTTATCACTACACTGTGTGATTCTAATGAATAATTTCCATTGAGAAACATCTCAAACTATTTTTACAGAGGAGCAGAGAGGACTGGAATCCAAGTGGATGTTTGAGTCAAATTTGAAGAAATCCCCTCAAGATGTTCTGAAGAATGGGATGGACTCAAGTTCAGTGACCTTTGACCTATGACCACTAAAATCTATACATTCCATTCTTGAGTCCAAGTGGACACTTGGGCCAAATTTGAAGAAATTCCCTCAAGGTGTTCCTGAGATATTGTGTTAAAAAGTCATAGGACGGATGGTTGGACGGACAACCCAAAGACATATGGCACAGAATAACAGAACATTATCATTTTCAGAAAGGTGCAGTTATTGCAGGACCATATTAGTAGGGCTGCATTAACTGCAATTCTTGTTTAAATGTATAAGTTATCAATTCATCAACTCAAAATTAAGGGAATCAAAAACGAACTGAATTGAGAGATCAGTATCAATATCCAGCCCTAAGTATTAGACTGCATTAGTTTCAGCTTGGTGTACCTAATAAACTGCCAACTTAGTTTATAAAAGGCTGTGTGTTTTGTCCAATCACATAACGTGGTTGTGTAAAACAGAAAAGAAGATGCCAGAGAGCTCAGGAAGTTCCCAACAAAGTTAGCGAAGGGGCTTTTTTGCCAAAAGGACCAAAAATAAGCAGATGCAAAAAAGAAAAAAAGTCAAAGGTACTGGTAGGTTCGTTATATTGATGATATTCTGCTGTATTGGTCAGGCTCTAAACAGGAACTTTTATTCTTTTACGGCTTTTTGAACACTAACAATGGAATTTTTAAGTATTGATTATTCAAGGAATAATATCAATTTCTTACATCTTACTATTTCCAAGGGAGGGGATGGCTGTCTCAAACCTAGTGTGTAGAAAAATGACAGATAAAAACAATATTCCTTTTGGACAATTTCTACATCTGCACTGTATTTGTGATAAGGATCAGGAGTTTGAAAAGCAGGCCACAGTAACAACAGAGCGTTTTGCACAGAGATGATATCAAACTAAAGTCATTCAAGATGCTCATAAAAAGAGCTCAGTTTGTTTCTAGATCTGTAAAGAAAATCCTCTGATAGTCCACAAGCACATTTTGTCACTTAATATAGTTCTTTAGCTTATTCCATAAAAGAATATTATATTCCATTTGGAACCTAATTAAAAGTAATCCCACCCTAAAGAAAGTTTTTGCAGGTCCTCCCAGGATCCGTTTTAGCAGAGCTCCCACAGTGAAAGACAAGTTAGTACATAGTCATGATAGTAATAGTAATAGTACTTGGCTTCCTCTGTCTTCGAAGGGTACTTATAAATGTGGTTTCTGCAGTCACTGTGCTATCCTAAAAAATGTTAACAATTTTGGGATTTTAGGACCCATAAAATATATGATATAAAACCCTTCATTAATTGTAACACTACATTTGTTGTATATCGCCTATCCTGTACTTCTGGTTGCTTCTATATAGACTGCACTAAGAGATGACTTAAAGACAGAGTTTCTGAACATAAAAGTGCAATTAGGAAAGACAACGTTAACTGTACTATGGCTAGGCCTTTTAAATATCCATATAACAATAATCCTGACATCCTCAAGGAGAGAAACCTTCCATATACATTAACTGTAGGACTTATCCAGGGCTGAACAATGATACTGACTTTAGTCCTTTTCTGTAAATGTACATCGTTTATTTTTTGTACATTTGTATGTGCTTTGTATTTGATGTGGGTCATGTTTTGTTTGTGTCCGTGTGTTTTAGTTCCAGGTCTATCTTTGTGCAGTCATCTCTTCCAGCTAGGGCTTATATGTGCATGATCTTTGGTTCCCTATGAGCCCACCTGCTGGTGTTTAGCCATGAATGGGATGACTGGTTCCCTGTTATGACCAGGTGTTTACTACTGTCTTACTTAAGGGAAAACATCTAGACAAAGGCAGCTCTTTGCTTCTACGTGTGGGCTGTAACCCACATTTTGAATATGTATAGTTTTTAATTCTCATTGTGAGAGAACCAAAGCTTTTTACTATTTTTCAAAGGTGCCTTTGATTTTTTTTCTTTTTTTACATAACATGGACTGCTCACAGCAACACAGTTTAGTGTTGAAACATCAAATGTGCAGATCAGTAGCAGAAACAGACTTTACATTTAACTAAAGTGATGCTGGGATTTAAACAGACTGTTTTACCTGTGAGTGATCAGCTGTAGGTCTACAGGACAACATGAAGCAGTAGTAGCTCAGTGAATAATCAGTTTTGGAGTCAGTTTAACACTGGAATGGAGAGTATCAATTTTTTAAATCGATTTAGTAGGCATTTGAGGACTGGTCATGACAACTGGGGAAGGTGGTTGGAGGACAAATGTCCATTTTTCACACTTTGGGTGGAACCTGCTCCTCATGGAGGTGATGTCCTAGTTATGGCTATAAAATTCACTATGTGACAAATGGCTACTTATTTGTTATTCTGCCACAGCAGAGGATGACATCAGTTCAACATTTTAGCATGTGGGCAGTTACAGCTGACAGGCTGGTATACAAGTTTAATATGAATAAAACTGTCACCTAAGGAAAAGTGTTTACATGGCCCTGAAGATGAGCCACAAATTAACCGTGCATGTCACAGGTGTGGTCTGGTAGTTCAACAAACAGCACTATACCTCTGGTGAAAACGGCTTCTGTATAGCTCAGTTTAGGTTTCCGCTTAGCTACTAAATTTCCGCTGTGTTCACCAAGTAGTTCTGCTGTTTAGTGTTGCAAAAACTGCATCAGGACTTGCTGAAAACATCAGTTTGCTGTAGATCAAGAGACTCAACTACACAGTAAATTTACGGGCCATGAAATCATTACACAACACCATCTAAAGAGTTGAGCAGAACTCATTTCATGAATTCATCTCTCTCTCTATCTATCTGTGTGTGTGTGTAAATTGTGCTAATCTTATTACCACAACTATGTTTCAAAGCAAGGCATTGAAGAGCGGCCGTTGTGGCCTGTGATAACTATGGGGTAATGCTGATGTTGAAACATAGTGTACCAGTAGCTTGAGAAGAGCTACAAAACAAATGTCAGTAACACAACAATATCTCTCTGAAACAAAAGCTAACATTAGCTACAATAAGTGACTGGTCATACTGTATCAGGCCAGGTTAGGCTGCAGCAGCAAAATCCTAGAGTATATTGAACCATCCCAGGGTATTTTTTAAAAACTGTTTATGAATTCATCTTTTTCTATAGGTGCAGGAGACTGTATTATTTCTTCTTTCACAAGTTACATGACCTCACTTTAAATATTAAATAGACTTTTAAACAAATTTGTAATAATCATGATCAGTGGTAATTCATCATGCTTGCAGGAATTAATGTCTTCTCAGCTAATCAAAGGGCTTTCATTTAATGTCATATGGGACTATGTCAACATTCAGCATAACCAAAAATTAGACGGCAGTGGCACATCTCTTACCTTGCCAATGTACTGGTAGTCACTGCCTGTATACTCCTCCTGCAGGAAAAACTGGTTCCACATCCAGCCTCTTCTCACTCTTTTGAGCAGCTTCTCTCCTCTGATCGCTGTTTCTACTGTCTCTATCTTCTGTCCAGTCAAAGACAGTGCATCCAGGGACAGGCCCATACAAAGCCATACGACGCCCAGTAGAATAGTCCTCATTTTTCAGAAAATGTGTGGAATGTATACGTCACAAATGTTCTATCTCCCCAGCTGGATCACCTTGAACTGGGAGATGGGTCTATCAGTCATAGTCCTTCAGGTTCTTTATGACTGGAAAATGAAGCTGTAAGAGAGACAGAGATGAGTACATGGCTGGGCTAAACATCACAACACTGAGGTCCACATTTAATAAGGCTGCATTGTGAGGGCAGTTTATGGATTGCTTGGCATTTGGACTGCTTCATGTAGGAGTGAAGAGCTTTGACCCTATTGATTTGGAAATGTATGCAATGTATGCAAATCAAGTTGTGGTAAACCAGCAGCTCCTTAAACACCATTTACAGCTGCAGCACAATAGTCTTAGTGGTACTGTAGGTCACTGGATTTATTCACTCTTTTGCAACTCAGGTCTGTTGCAATGCAAACCTGTAAAAGGAGCATCGAATAAGTGCATTAGCTTGAAACTACATTTCTTTCCTGTCATTTAGGAGTAACTTATGTGGGATCAGTAAAATGCTGTCCTTTCCCTTCCTTTAATGGATTTAACAGAGATGTGTGATATATAAATAAGTGTTTCTGATTGTAAAATCCATTTGTTTATAAGGATTCACAAAAACCTTAAAAATTAGGTTACGTAACATTGATACAGATACAATCTCCATAGCATTTCTTTGTTGACATTGGCTGTATATTGATAGTGCCAAGCAGTAACAGTGATACTGTACTTGTGTATGAAGTATTAGATTACATTAACAAATTCAGTATATTTTTACACTGGGTCATCTAGCAGTGTAAAACATGGTTAATGTGAAAATACTATTTTCATTCTATAATGAATTCCAGCTTCTAGTCTGCTGTTATTGAGCGTTTTGAGATTTTAAGTTAATGGCATTCAAACTCAAATGTTTGAGGTGTTGAAATATTGGTTTCATTCACTAAATCAGATGGGTTCTACTGATTTGCCATTTTTCATCCACCACTGAAAAACCGCCATCTCCATTTGTGCAAATGGTTCACATCAAAACCTAGCTTTAACATTGTTAAAGCATTATGGCCTTTAAGCACTTAGAAGGCTTTTAATGTGAATTATCTGAGCAATAAGGGCCCAGTACCATTGATGGAAATGTCACAGGGATCAAGACACTACAAAATCAAAGTGACTAGTAAATTAAAGAAACAACAACTGTAAAATAGAGAATGGAAACCCATTACAACAGCAAGTTGTTACACAGAAAAAGTTGCATTTTAGGGAAGGGAACGGCAGTTTTATTCTGGATGGACACACAAAACTGAGAGAGGAAGATGCGTTTACAAATGTTCCAAGTTTAAGGTAGAAAGGTCTGAGAAAGATGTTTAAGAAAGTAATAAAATCAACATCATTTCACATTAACACAACAAAGGCAGAAATCCACTGAAAAGGCCACAGAAAGGCTGTAATAACAGCAGAGACAGAGCATCACTGAAACCAGTGAGAAGCTATTGGCAAGCTTCAGCAAAAGAGCTCAAATAAATCCATGGACACGACCTATCAGCACTAAACAGAAAGAAGCAAAGTTGGTGACTAGCTGGTGAACATAGCGGAGCATCTGGAAACAGAAGAGCTAGATACTTTTCTCAGAAGATGGTGGAGACCAAAACAGATCTAAAAGGAAAGTCAATATAACACTCCAAATAAATGCTAATGTTTCTTTGTGTCTGCTAGATTTGTAAAGAGGGAACAGTTTGTCTTAAGCCAGGCTTAAGACAAAATGTTTGATATTTGAAAATAAATAAATAAAAATAAAAAATTGCCATAGCATATATAGAGATATATATCATAAATGTTGATTACATGATTGATACAATTAAAATAACTAATGTTTAGAATTTTTTTTTGCTTAACCTCATTAGACACTAAAGCATAATTTAAACATTACATCTGTTATGTAATTTTATTAGGTTTTGATTCAGTTTAGCCTTTATTTTTACTTACTTAATCTTCATTTGGTTGAACCTGGAAGGAATGTTTAAGCCACATATATATACATAATGTTTCTCTCTTTTATTTCCACCTCTCCTTGATGAGATGGATGTAAATATAACACCAAGAGAACAGAGCTTTCACTGGGAATTACTTTTACAGGTTAATGCTGTTTTCACATGAAATAACACATCGTCTTGGTTGGGAGCAGGTTGTCTGTAGTTGTAAGGACAGCAGAACGGGCTTACAGCAGTGTTTAAGGCACTGGCTATAATTAATCAACAATGCAGATCCTTCAGAGTGAACACAGCTGTGACATGTATGCATGGTGTTTGGAACAATTTCCCTCAAAAATCAGACCAATCGCTGACTCAGTGGTTGTACCATCTGAACAACATGCCTCAAATGCTGCCTTTTATACACTTAAAAACTGCACCAAATCAATAAATCCATACACATTCACACCAAAGGATCTGGAAGGACCGCTAACACAGCAATTACAACATTGAAAGGAAATGTGCTTTCATCTTCCCACACGTAGCTCTGTCAGTGTCTTGCTGCAACAAGCAAAAATAATGCTCTTTTTTATCTGAGCTGCTTTCCATACATATATAACCCATTTAATTCCGCTGACATGGCATGGCAACACTTTGGTTATGCTGATCGATGTCGCAGTTTTAGTATTCACAAAGACTTTTGAACAATAAAGTGTGCCTCTTTAAGGCTATTCATTAAGGGAAAACAGACCTGATCATGAACCACTACACTTATCATGCACTAGTCATTTAGTGTTTGATTTCAAAGATAATCCACCATATTCGTTCACATTTTCATGACTAGGATGCAGCCCTGACATGAAACAGTGGTTATCAACCATCAGTTATTGTAAAATAACTGCTGACACAGTCATCAATATACACCACAGTCATGGCCAAAACTATCGGCATCACTGCATTTCTGTCAGATAATGCACCACTTCTGCCAGAACATTATTGCAGTCACAAAGTCTTTGGTATTTCTATGTTTATTTCTCTAGTTTCAATTGGAATAACACAAAAAAAGCAGAGAAAAAAGCCAAACCTGACACATTCCACACAACTTCAAAAAGCATCAGAAATAGTTTCAGACAATGAGCTGGAGAGTTCTGAAGTGGCCAGCAATGAGTCCAGGTCTAAATCCCATAGAAAACCTGTGGAGAGATCTCAGAACAGCAGCTGGGAGAATGAGGCCTTCATATCTGAGAGACTTGGAGCAGTTGGCAAAAGAAGAGTGGTCCAAAATTCCAGTAGAGGCGGAAGAAACTCCCCCATGGTTACAGGAAACAATTGATAAAGAATTTTTTTTTGCCCAAAGGGTGTGCTACCAAATATTAAGCTGAGGGTGTCAATAACTCTGCCCAGTCCATCTTTGGAGTTCTGTTTGGAATGTATCAGATTATCATTTTTCTCTTGGCTTTTTGTGTTGTTCAAATGCAAACAAAAGAAATAAACATGAGAATAACAAAGAGTTAGTGATTACAACAATCTTCTGGGAGAAGTAGTGCATTATCTGACAGAAATGCAGGGGTGGCGATATTTTTGGCCATGACGGTGACTGAAGCAGTACAATTGTTCTATCTCAATGAAATCACCTTATCTGGGTCATTTAAGTGTACACCATAAGTATCATCATATCCTGCAATAAATATTGACACAACTGGATTGAACAAAATCATGAGCACTACACGTTTTTTTTTCACAAAGCATTCTCACTCATTTGTTCTGTCTCTTGCCCTTTCACTGTGCAAGTATGGCATTAGTCTTATTAACTTGGTGCTTTATGAAAAGGCTTTAATTGAATCACATGAACAACATGCAGGAGACTGATTTTGCCTTCACTTGGTTTTTAATGAGCCTCACCACTTTATTATTCTGCCATAGAAAAATCTGGTTTTCTGGTTCAAGTGATTTCCCCCATTGTCTAGTTATTATAGTGTGTGTTTGAGTGTGTGTCACTAAAGTGCTTTTAAAAAGCACTGTTATAAGTTCAAACCATCAAAAAGCCAGCAGCACAATCACAGCAGATTAATTTTCTCTCTGTAGATAACTGATTTTCAATTCATTCTTCTTTGTTTACCACTGTAACCCGTGGATGACAGAAACAGCAACATACAGTGCATCCAGAAAGTATTCACAGCGCTTACCTTTTTCCACATTTTGTTAGGTTACAGCCTTATTTCAAAATGGATTAAATTCATTGTTGTCCTCAAAATTCTACAAACAATACCCCATAATGACAATGTGAAAAAAGTTTGTTTGAAATCTTTGCAAATGTATTAAAAATAAACAAAAAAAATCATATGTACATAAGTATTCACAGCCTTTGCTCAACACTTTGTTGAAACACCTTTAGCACCAATTACAACCTCAAGTCTTTTTGAGTATGATGCTACAAGCTTGGCACAACTATTTTTGGGCAGTTTCTCCCATTCTTCTTTGCAATACCTCTCAAGCACCATCAGGTTGGATGGGGAGCGTTGGTGCACAGTCATTTTCAGATCTCTCCAGAGGGTTCAAGTCTGGGCTCTGGCTGGGCCACTCAAGGACATTCACAGAGTTGTCCTGTAGCCACTCCTTTGTTATCTTGCCTGTGTGGTTAGGGTCGTTGTCCTGTTGAAAGATGAACCGTCACCCCAGTCTGAGGTCCAGAGCTCTCTGGAACAGGTTTTCATCAAGGATGTGTCTGTACATTGCTGCAGTCATCATTCCCTCGATCCTGAGTAGTCTCCCAGTTCCCACCACTGAAACACATGCCCATAGTTTGATGCTGCCACCACCATGCTTCACTGTAGGGATGGTGTTGGCCAGGTGGTGAGCCTGGTTTCCTCCAGACATGAGTTCAATCTTTGTTTCATCAGACCAGAGAGTTTTGTTTGTCATGGTCTGAGAGTCCTTCAGGTGCCTTTTGGCAAACTCAAAAACACATCCCCACAACTTTTTTTTGCCATGTGCCTTTTACTGAGGAGTAGTTTCTGTCAGGCCACGCTACCATACAGGCCTGATTGGTGGAGCGCTGCAGAGATGGTTGTCCTTCTGGAAGGTTCTCCTCTCTCCACAAAGAAATGCGCAAGGATGATCAATGGAGACACGATGCACCAGAGCTCAATTTTGAGTGTCATGGCAAAG